ATTTTATGTGATGTGATAGGATGTCATGTCATGTGTTGTCATATCCTCTGATTTCATGTCATACGATGGCATATCATGTGATGTCATGCCATTTAATGTGATGTCATATCATATAATGTCATGTCACGTGATATCGTGTGATGTGATATCATATTACGTAATGTAATATCATTTGATGTCTCTTCATATCATGTAATATAATGTGATGTGATATCATTTAATGTGATCACATTCCATGTTCCGATTATTATATCGATAACCCTTTTGATAACTGCGTCGATAAAAATACCGATAACAATATTCATAAACATACAGAAAAATACAACCATTGCAAATTCGATTAATTCATAGATAAATACAACAATCATCAGTATCGATTATTGTACATATCGATAACAATATAAATTACTAAATCGATAACAAAATCAATTATTTAATCGATTATTATACCGATAACAATATCCATTATTGTATCGATTACAATATAGATTATTATATTGATTATTACATCGATTACAATAGCTGTTGTTTAATCAATAACAGTATCGATAACAACATCGATTATTTTATCGATAGCAATGTCGATTATTATATCGATAAAAATATCGGGTTTTATATCGATAACAATATCGATCTTCACCCTCATCCTTTTCTTCATATTTATCTTTATTTTTGCATATTCCTCTTCACCTTTACCTTAAAGTGTTTAAATTTACTTTGATCTTCGTTTTTGCCTGTACCTCTAGGCATCTTTGTTTTTGTTTTTATTCTCAAACCGCTAAACCGCTGAGAACCATTTCCATGTGCATTATTCACCTTGAATTTGACAATTTACTCCCAACCAACCAACTGCCGCTAAAGAAGTTTACTTCATAAATTCAAAAAATGTTCTTACCCTTTTAGTTACCCTAATTCTTATGTATCTGTCATTGTCTCCATTTTCTTTATCTTCACTTTTGCCTTTTTTTTTGACTTCATCGTTCTCATTTATTTCTTCATCTTCATATTTATCTTTATTTCAAAGCTTAATTTCAAATGTGTAGTGAAACAACAGGCGAAACATGTCAAATTGAACATGTTGCAGCAACATCCATACACAATTCGAAAATGTTTAAACAATGGTTTTGGCCGTAATTTTTAACCAATTGTGAAACCACAAAAACTCTGCTCATCTACGGAAAAATGCCTTTCCAACGGTGTTCTTGGTTTTGAAATCGGTTCGGTAGAGTCGCCAAACGAACGGAGACAAAATTTATGTTAGCGTATTAATATATAGATTTCGTTGGTTGCGAAGAGAAGAAATTTATCAGGCGACCAGAAGATGTAGGCTTGCAATACCAGTCCAGAAGAAGGCGATTTTCGCTTCTATGTATACGCGCGTCTAGAAAAGGGATGCTTGAGTTTTCTTCCATTTCCATGGTGAATTGAAGTTTGTTGTGGTATTTGTTCAGATGTTGGAGGATAATATTAGCGTCATTACGTTTGACTATTGCGAAGATGTCATCTACATATTTTGTTATAAATTTAATGTTAATATTAAGTTTTTTGAGCTCTGAAATTGTATTTTCGAGTAAATCGTCCATCACGATATCAGCAATTATTGGTGAAAGGGGGTTGAAAACATGTCTTTATTGTGTTTTTGATTTATACGGTTTTTGTCAAAGAATAAACTATATTTTCCGCCAAAAGACTCCAAAAGAGCTCCGAAATTCACTGAAAAACAGTCATAACATGCACTGAATTCATCGGTTTCGGAGTCATTTTTAGACTCCATTCAGCGTGCCCGCGTAGAACGAAAAATCGCTCATTTAGGGCTCCAAAACGAGCTCATTTATGAGGAAAAAGCTCCGATAGAAGAAGGTTTATAGCTCAAAAAATAGTCTTTTAGGATCCTTTTGGTTAGTCCGGTATTGAGGCAAACATCCCAGTGGGAAAAGTAGTGATGCATTACATGCGTGATAAATAAGGTAATCTATTTATTATGAGTTCTAGATTCTATTATTGCTAAATATGTAATCAGCATTCGAATGTATCCAAAAAGTCGCAAAAATTTCATATTAAATCACATTAATTCTTGCATTACTATTAATGCAAAATTGAATGCCCCACTTTTCTTAGGACATCGCCGTGGGAAAAATAATGCATTTTCGAATTTTGAAAACGGCTCTTTTACTGATTATTTTTTCTATTACAATACATTACATTTTCCCACTGGGATACTATCACCGCAAACATATTCTGAGCGTTCAGAATATATGAGTCCGAAAGGAGTCCTAGGTGAATAAGAAATATGACTTTCAAAATCAAAGAATGTGTGACTCTTATATGAATCTTTTAGGAGTCAATTATAATCCAAGTTATGAGCCAGCTCCTTTTGTCAATATAAAAACAATAAAGATTCGAAATTTATATCTAAACTTGTTTATACAGAATTTGAAAATAATCATAATTAGAAAACTAACAAGTAAGAAAGTCTAAGTTCGGGCGGAGCCGAACATTAAATACCCGGCGCAAGTATTAAATATATGTTTTCCACCTTTCCGAAAGCTACCGCTACATGATAAGCCGGGGTGTATACATTTTAAGTAAATTAGCGTCCTTAAATTTCGAAATATTGAAATTTCAAGCATATCTGAAATTTACCGTTATATGAAAAGCGTCCTCAATTTTAGTCCGATTTCAACAATTTTCAAAGTTTTGCTTATATGTGGCAAGCACAATAACCACACCGAGTTTGGTACAAATTGGTAGAACGGTTACCGATATACTTATATGTGATCATAGTGGGCGGTGCCACGCCCATTTTCCAAAATTTTAACATAAACGTATTTCTTGGTAAAGAATTGTTGCAAGCATCAATTTTGAATAAATTAGCTTCAATATTTACTGATTTATCGAAGATTTTGTATTTCTCTAAATTACCGTTATATGGGATGTGGGCGTGGTTATTGTCCGATTTTAAAAAGTTTCGGCGATTTTTTATGCTGTACCAAGGCCAACAACTGTGCCAAGTTTGGAAGAAATTGGTGTAGCGGTTACCAAGATATACATATGTAACCATAAGTGGGCGTGGCTACGCCCATTTGCCAAAATTTTGTAATATTCTTATTTTTCGTCTAAAACTCATTGCAAATATCAATTTTGAGTGAATTATCTTCAGTAGTTACTAAAATATCGCAGTTTTCGTTTTTCTGAAAATTACCGTTATATGGGAGGTAGGCGCGGTTATTAACCGATTTCGCCCATTTTCAATACAGTCCGTCCCACCCCCAAAAGAAGTTCACGTACCAAGTTTCGTTAAGATATCTCAATTTTAACTCGAGTTATCGTGTGCACAGACGGACGGACGGACGGACAGACAGTCACCGCTTAATCGATTTCTCTTTTCATTCTGATCATTTATGTATACATTTGTCTATATCTATCTCGATTCGTTTTGCCTGTTACAAACAACCGTTATGTGAACAAAGTTATAATACCCTTGTGCACAAGTGCGCTCGGGTATAAAAATAAACCAAATTCAGCTGCAGCTGCTACTATTAAGTGTATGTATATGGGTAAGGCTTCCTCAAGTGGGCACCGAATTTACCAACATTAATATTTTTCAATGATATTCAGGCAGCGCCGAGTTTTGTAGTCGAACAGTACACTGTGTAATTTTTGTTGCAAAATTCCAAATAGTTTCTTTTTAATCAACAATTGAAAATTTTTGCAGTGTTTTGGAAATTTTTATTTTTCTTTGAAAGTAAGTGTCCGAATGAAAAAATTTTTTGGGTGCAGATTTAGGAAACATTAAACTATACAATGAAATTATTTGCGTTACAAAAATTACTATTTTTTTTGCTTTTCGATCAATTTTTTATGAAAAATTGAATTTTTAAGTAATTTCGTGGACGAACATTTTTAACAACTACTTATGTAATAAACATTTCTGCAGTTATGTATGAAAAAATGCGTACATTTCGATATAGTTTGGTTGGAATGAATTTTTATTTGCCAGCGTGCGGGCCCGACTCGCGTGGCTGGATCGCGCGCAATCCGTATTGCCTTCTTGCGCAAGAAAGAAATGCACGTTTCAATCGTTCCACTTTTATTTTTCGTGCTCGAATTTCGCATGCCGCGGGATTCGGGCGCGCACGCTGCCAAATAGAAATTCATTCCGACCAAACTATATCGAAATGCACGCATTTTTTTTCATAGATAAATGCAGAAATGTTTATTACATAAGTAGTTGTTAAAAATTTTCGTCCACGAGGCGCTGAAATTGCTTAAAAATTCAACTTTTCATAAAAAATTTATTGAAAAGAAAAAAATAAACAATTTTTGTAACGCAAATAATTTCATTGTATAGTTTAATGTTTCTTAAATCTGCACCCACAAAATTTGTTCATTCGGACACTTACTTTCAAAGAAAAATAAAGATTTCCAAACCACTGCAAAAATTTTCAATTGTTGATTAAAAAGAAACTATTTGGAATTTTGCAACAAAAATTACACAGTGTACTGTTCGACTACAAAACTCGGCGCTGCCTGAATATCATTGAAAAATATTAATGTTGGTAAATTCGGTGCCCATTTGAGGAAGCCTTACCCATATACGTATGTCGGAATATTTATATGTACTGAGGTATGTATACATACATATGTATATGCACATATGTATGTATGGTATAATAAAAATAATAATAGTAGATTGGCGCTTACACATATGTTAGTGTTTGGCCGAGCTTCTCCTCCGACTTGTGGCACAATAAGAGTCCAATGTGACTCATGTTGAGGCTCATTTGATGAATGAATTTAAACGCATATATGTATATAAGTCGAACTTCGAAGGAAGGGAAATTACGCTCATTTCGGATTCTTAAATGAGATCATTTTGAGCATAAAGGCTCCGAAATAGGACTCCTTAAAGACTCATTCATGTCTCCAAATGTTTGCTGGGATCTAAATCATTTCCTTAAATTGATTATATATTTCTTTTGTATTCATTATTCTTTTAGGTTATGTGGGTCAGGCGAACAACAGAAAAGGTCTCTTTATTAACTGTTGGCAACATCACATACAGCGGCGACCCACGAATTCGCGTCAAGTTTCAGTATCCAAATAATTGGCGGCTGCTCATTAATCCCACGCACAGGGAGGATGCTGGCGTCTATATGTGTCAAGTTTCAACGCATCCTCCGCGAGTTTTTACAACAAATCTAACCATTATGGGTAAGCTCATACAAAGATGCAAATACAAACACATATTCGCAAGATCGTGTAATTTAATCTTCTTTCAAGATGCCAGCTAGGCACACCTCTTTATGGGAGCTACTGAACACAAAGATATGGGCGGACGCTTTTACTTGTATGCATGTGCATACATATTTATATAAGTTATGTACTTACGTATTTATGTGTATACCCTGCAGTGAAATCCCAAACTAGTCAGGAAAAATACTTGTACCAAGTACAAACGATTTATTCATGCTCTGTTTCTACTTCGACAGTTTAAACTTAAAACTATTAATTAATACAATAAAGTAAACCAAATATTATTACTTTTATTTTGGTATATTGTAAACCATTAAAGGGAGTACGTATTCAATTATACAAGACCTGTTAAATAATGATTAATATTCATAATGATTATTAATTAAAGCATGTTTCTTTGGATAACCGTTTAATGAGTAATAATTAATTACGTAAAAAAACGTTAATTAATTCATTAATTTTAATTACATCATTATTTTGTTATTTGTGTCATTTTCAATTATTTTTGACTTGTTTTAATTACAAGAACTTGTTTTAATATCAAGAAAAACTATTGACAAAAGTTAAAAATATTTAACAACTGCTTGAATTATTTATTTATTTTATTCTTATCCAAATCTCAAATTTTAAACATTAATTATTACTTTTATAAAATTTTAAAAAGAAAAGACTGGAATGTGCAAAGTTAATGGATTTAATTTATTTTAATGAAAACTCTTATTTTTATTTTAGTTCACTCAAAAATGAACTAAAGTATTCATTTTATTTTTAACTAGAATGTTTTCTTTTGCATATTCAATATTATTAAAAAAGATAAAAATATAGTATTTATTGTACCTGAAACCTTTTACTTTTAATAACACTTAATGAAAAATGTGTAATATATTAAAGTGGACTTAATCAAAAGTGTTTTATTGTATATTCATTAATTCATTTTATTTTTTGGCTCCCAAAGTAGTCGTTTTGGTCCATTATTGGACTAGTATTTTTCTGTCTATTTTGAACTAGTATGAGACTGGTATATTTCTGACCGAAATCTGACAATTGCCATCTCGTAGGACATCCCCATGTTAAAAATACAAGTTGATTGCATGGAAAAAAGGTAGTTGGCTAACTAGTTGGGCATGCGGTTCATACTAGTTGTGAGGTAGTTTACAACTAAATAGTACATTTGACTACAGGGTATCTATACACTTGTATGTATGTATGTACTTTGGGATTGTATAATGCAGCTGTTCTAAGGCGAGGCGATTGTGTCCATTGTTGGCTCTGGGTGCTTTGCATACAAACACACAAATATTTAATTTGGTCTGTAATGTTTTGTATATGTTCTTTTTTTGACGCTCCATTTAATTAAATTTCCTCTACTTTTTTTTTATTTTTTTGTATAATAAACGATTGCGCATTTTCCTTCTTCAGTGGCACAAAATAATCGCTTCGCAAATTTGACGCTTCCTTCTCGTGCAGGCTTAACTTTGTTAATTGATTAATACATACACGAAAGCAAGGAAAATACTGCATTAAGTGCTAAAGAACAAATTAATGAGATAATGATGAGCAAAATTTCTCTAATTGCATGCAGGACTTATTCATGTACATGGAGCTTAGTATTAGTCCTTGATGGTGGAAATCTTGTCCCCGATATTTTCATGAATTAAAGAGCAAATACATATTAAGCCAACGGACTCAGATGCCGTAACATTTCATAGCACGGACTCCTCTGGAATAAAATAAAATATAATATTTTGTATTTTCCAGAGCCCCCTTTACGTCTAATAGACGATCAAGAACGGGAAGTAAGTGACCGCTTTTACAAAGCAGGCAGCACCATAGATCTTTATTGCCAAGTCTCGCGTAGTTTTCTACTTAAAGAGAGGGTTAAAATTGAAAACTCTGTACAACCATACGAGCAGAATCAAACAAAAGTAAATCCTAGCAAAGGCCACATAGGAGCCAACCGCTTGGGTTCCGGATACAATGAACTATTATCGAATAACAACCAAAGCAATACTAAGCTGTCAGGCCATGCGTTTGAAAAACAATTCATCAGCATGATATTTTGGGCAAAGGACGGCGAAGTATTACCTTCTACAATAATTAAACAGTCCAGGTAAATTTTAATATACATATGTATGTACTTTAAAATGATCATACACCCAGCTTCACTTGAATAGGTAATTTTCTGGCATAGGCATAGGAGAATCTTCGCTTTTATCTGAGAAAAATATTCTAATTTGTTTCAGAGATTGACAAACGATGCTGTTTTTGTGACTTTAAGCCTGCTCACATTAAAAACGGGGGATGAACGAACACCAGCGCATAGCGTGCAGTGCTTGCAAACACGGTTGCCGTTTTGGTCCAAATGGACCAAATTTGGTCAATTTCTTTTCGTTTGGTCAATTGGTCCAATTCTTTTTAAAATGGTCCATTTCACAAGCCTTTGGTTAGGTTATTATCACCCTTTCACTTCATGCAATAGTTTTTCTATTTATTTGATGAATGTTCCGCCCTATGTTGAATATCGCCATCGTCATTAAAAGTGACGATGCGGCCATCGTCAGCCATGTTACTGATGCGCTGACGATCGTCGACGATGATGATGACGGTATTCAGCATAGGGCCGATTGGCAGCACCTGCTAAAAGTGTGAACTCGCCTTGCCTTCTCATTTACCTTACTAACACATTTGCAAATTTTACGTTGGTTAAAAAGAGACAACTAAATAAGGCCATAAGTCGGAGGTAGACGGAAGATCACATGTACACAAATGTTTACATCACGTTTTGNCCTACAAGAATTGTGTGATGGAAATTAACACATTCTCATTTACCTTACTAACACATTTGCAAATTTTACGTTGGTTAAAAAGAGACAACTAAATAAGGCCATAAGGCGGAGGTAGACGGAAGATCACATGTACACAAATGTTTACATCACGTTTTGCATATTGCTCTTAAAAAGTTGATAGAAGTACATGATTGAGATCTCCATCACCAGTGAGTATCACATGATCAATCAAATGACTATCACTGTTCTTGTAGGGTGCAAATATGGCATGGCTAATCATCTGTCAAAGCACGCTTCAAAAATATCGCGATTTCTTGCTAATTTCAATTACTCGGTGACCAATATTAAAACGGCTGGCAAAAATATGGAAAGGAAAACTGCAGTGAAAACCCTAACCAGTTAGAAAAAATACTAGTTCATAAACTAGTATGTGCCTACCGGTTCGATATTTTCGAAGAACTTAAGCGTTCAGCGACATCTTCCTTTGAATTTCCAAAGCCTAAATTAAAACGCAATTAATTGATTTTCTTACAAATGTCGGATGTGGCGTCACGTGACGACTACTGGTTCTGGTTCTGGGATCGCAGGTTCGAGGCCGCTTGTAGGTGGTTAAGATTTTTAAAGTTAGATCAATGTAAGTAGGAATAATTATTTCAATTTAAATATAAATAACAAACTTAATAATCTAGTTGCATTACAAAAAAAAGAAACAAATATATGGGAAGAAATACTTGTGCCATAAAAAAATAGATTAAAAAAAAATATTTTTTTTTTTAATCAAATTTAAGAATAACTAAAAAAACCCTAAATAAAAATATAAATAAAAGACATATTATAAAAAAACAAAAAAAATAAAAAAAAAATCCCTGCGCCCGGGCTTGAACCTGGTACCTAACACATACCACGCGAGTGCTTTGCTCTGTCGGCCATTGCGACTGTTGGAGCGNTAAATCCCTGCGCCCGGGCTTGAACCTGGTACCTAAGGCATACCACGCGAGTGCTTTGCTCTGTCGGCCATTGCGACTGTTGGAGCGCCGCGAGCAAAAAGGCATACTAATGCTTTTCATAGGGGATGAATTGGCAGACTATCTCATCAACTGGTATGATGCTACTAGTATTTCTACTAGTAGATGCTGATGCATAGCCTGACAATTGACATCTCGTAGGACATCGCAATGTTAAAAATACCAGTCGCTAACATTGAAAAAGGATAGAACGTGAACTAGTTGGGCTGAAACGCAAACTGGTAGAATTCTAGTTCACAACTAGTAGCTTTCCCGGCAGGGAGCATTTAGCACATGACAATAATATTCGATTTCAATCGAAAAGATATTAAACATCTTGAAATTATTACACCACATAAAGTTCTTTCTGATACTGATGTATCAATTTTGCCGCTACTCGTCCACTTTCCTGCATTGGTAAATGATGCAGAAATAATTGAATTTCAATTTCGCAAATTGAGGCTGAGAGAAGGTAACTTCAAAAACTGTACCAATACAGAACGTTTTTGGGATCAAGTGAGTTTGATTAAAAATGGATTCGGTGAAGCGGCCTTTGGAAAATTGTGTGATTTAGTTCATAACATCTTGAGTCTGCCTCACAGTTCCGCAGCAGCTGCGCGCAATTTTTTTGATTTAACATTAATAAAAACAAAATTAAGAAACTAATTATAATTTAAAACTTTAAATAAAGTAATGTTAATAATATACAATTGTAATGCACATTGGATAATATATTAAAAAAAATCGTTATAAAGACTCAATTGGCATATTTTCTTGATAAAGAGGAATAAACTCCACTCAATTTCCCGATGTAATAAAAACTGGTCCATTTCTTATATTACCATTTGGTCCATTTTTTGGTCCGAAAAATAAATTGGAAATGGCAACCGTGCTTGCAAATACAGCCACCGCAAGTGAACGATACTTATAACAGCTCATACTGATATTGACTTCGGCAAACCGGCATTCCGAGTGAACGTGCACGAAACCAGCAACCACCGTATTAATAAAATAAAATTGTTGAATATAATTGTTATAAGGCCATAAAATAACAAAAAACAAATTTTGACTATTTGGATAAAAATATTTAGCAAAACGAAGAAAAGTTTAACATTTTAACACGCAGGAAAAACTTAAGCAGTTTTGCTTAAATTTAAGCAAAACGGCAACGCTGCTTGCTTCGCCAACCGTCCAAATGAGCTCTCACGCTTTCGGTAACCGTTCAAATGCCGCGTTTGCTAGTTTCGAGAAGGACCATTCGGAATACTGGTTTGCCGAAGTCAATATCAGTATGAGCTGTTATAAGTATCGTTTATTTGTGGTGGCTGTATTTGCAAGACAGCACGCTATGCGCTGGTGTTCAGTCATCCTCTAATTTCTTTTATACCGGGGACAGGCATCTGGTATTTCTTCGTAGCATTTCCAAAGTACCATATGTCTGTCACCAAATATTATAATATTCTCCAAAATACTACGTGAGCAGCCTAGTATTTTTTGTAGAAAGAATACAACTTTCCGAAGGTTGTAATTTTGTGGTATTCTCATCGTGAGTGGGCATTTCGCACTGAACATACCCAAAAATGACAGACGTCAGCTGCTCATTTATCAAAAAATCATTAAAATTTTCGCGCGATTGAAGCCAAAAGTTTGTACCGCAAGTTTTGATGTAATATATAAGCAATTTTTGCATTATTTTTGCATTTTTATGTTTATGTCTTGTTTTTCAAAAACATGTGATTTGACACTGAAATACTAAGTTAATGACTGTCACTATGGTAGTATTTTAAATACCACAATAAATTTACCAGAATGTAAATACCAGATGTCTGTCCCCGGTATTAGGTATCGATACTACTAAGTTAACGCGCTGCTCAATCATACAAAGCAGCAGTATTGATTGAGTATGCAATAGTTGGCGTTCAACGCATGCCAGTATCTGATTTGTTTCACACGCCTGAAGAGGTATAGTAAGTGTACCGCTATTGTGGGTTAAGTGTTGTAAATTAAATTGTCGTTAAAAACTCCCTAAGCATTAACAAGCGAATATAGATCCAACTTTTGCATTTTTAATTCGAGAAAATGAAGAATTTGTAGAATTCGTAGATCAAGCGCGTCCTAATTTTGCGAAACAAGTCAAAAACTTGCAAACATTTTAACCAGCTGTATCCCCGGCCTGTGATTTATGAAAAAACACGAAATATATGCAAAACTAAAAACCTACACCGAAATTACAGAAAGCCTATTGTGGAATCAACTTATTATTGTTGTGGTACTGCAGTATAGAACTAAAATTTAAGAAAACAGGTAATGTTCATGCTACCACAGGGAAGATTATGAATAAGTTAAGCAGTAATCCTTTAAAAACTAAAAAACAAAGGACACCAACAAATGCACATCTAAGATACTAGAGAAGAGAAACTAGAATTTATGCTGGCTCAACGAATTTAATAACAATTTTCGAAAGGTGGAAAATTTTTTCACTCACACCAAGATTGAGAGGGGTTGTAGCGGTGTAGAAAACGGTGTTGTGATTTGGAACTTTTGAGCTTAAATTTCAAGGAAAGGGACATACAATTCTTATAATTAATTACATAAGTACATAGGACATATTTCCAACTTCTTTAAAATCGACGATAACGAATAATACCGCTCATAGGATGAACGTAAACCTTTTCGGCCGACGAGAAAAATGGCAAGGACCAGGAGTCCTTAAATGATTTAAAATACCTATATAACAGACTTTTGAACAGGATTTTGGAATGAAGCTTCTTAGCCGACTTCGGAGGGTGAAGGGGGGTTAGAAAGAGATAGGCTGCATTGAACGTTTAACGCTACTGTGGAGGGGAAAGCAAGAGGGATAAAGACAAACACAAACACAAGGAATAAGACAAAGGCGAAACCAAAGCCAAATGCCAAGACTAATATTAAGATTTAAACAAATCCCTGCTGCATGAAATGCACTAGGGCGCCCTCCTTGAATGAAGAGGTAAGTACCAAATACCAGTCAGAAAATAAATGAAATGAAGCTTCTCAGATGCCTACAGGTCCAGATATAAGCTCGAAATTTTAAGAATATGTAACTATTCAAGGAATGCGGGGTGTATTTCTCTAGAGCATTCATCAGAGTGCATATTAAGGTAACGAATATAGAAAGGCCCTATTTAACATTTTTTCTTTAAAAGTCTTAATTGAATTCAAGTTTGTTGGACGCGTTTCAAGCGCCTATTTTATTGGTGTCTTTAATTGACTAAAAGCTACAGCAGATGTATCAAACTCTATTTACTTTTAGTGTGTAATCGACTTTTGTACAAAGTTCGTTTTTGGAAGAAAATGAGTTCTGTATTCAAAGGTACCCAGTGGGAAATGTAGTAATGCATTACAAGTGTGATGAATAATGTATCTTATGAGTTCTAGATTCTATTACTTTTAAACGTGTAATCAGTATTCTAATGTATCAAAAAAATAGCAAACAATTCATATCAAATCGCATTCATTCCTGCATTACTGGTGATGCATTACAGCCTTTACATGTTTGTCTAATTTTATATTCAAGCACCTCGGAAAAGTGGCTAATAAGTCGTGTTTCGATCATGGACGCCAAACTGCTTGATAGTGGAAATTATTCGTGCTCCATTGGAAAACTCTTCACTGCTATTGTGCAGGTACAAGTGCTGGCAGGTAAGAGAATTCAGTTAAAAAGGGTACTTAATTTTGTCCACGGTTAATATAAATCCAGCATAGAAAAATTTTTTAAGTAAGATATTATTTAAGTAAGAAATGATTCTGTAGACATCAAAAAAGATACCAAAGTGATAAGTGAGTAAAATTTGCTGGTACTTCATATGAAGACTTCTTGAAGGCGTAGCGCACTGGAGCCAAAGTTCACATTGTTCTATAGAGACTCTAAAAATTAAAATTAATTTTTTTTTCATCTAATACCCAAAATCGATACTTCCATAGTCGAAGTAATCACATATAAATTTTGGTCCCGAATGGAGTTGATTAAAGCCTCTATGCCTCTATGGAGACTAAACAAATTAGAACTATTTTTTTTTTTAATAAGCAAAATCGATACTAAGATATCACATATTAATTTTGGTCCCGATTGGAGTTGGTTAAGACGTCTTCATAGTGTAATCTGTACTTTTACCCCTGTGCGACACGCCTTAACCGTCTCCAATCGGGACCACAATTTATACGTGATCTCTTCGAATATAGTAGCATCGACGTAGGTGTTGAGGCTTAAAAAATCTGATGTAAAAATGCCTTCCTTTGTTTAAGGGCCACCCTAATGTACATAATTTAAAAGATCTCGTTTAAAAGAAAAAGTCATTAAGAATAATGCAATTTAAATATATATGTAGGTATATCTCCGATAACACTGTGGAACAGCTATCTTAGGACCCCAACCAAACGGCAGGCGAACCCTAATAGGGTAAGATCGCAATGCCGCCAGACCTATCTTATTTTTTAATTAACAAAATTTAGGGAATATGTAGTGTTTTATGTGTTTAGTACTAGGTTTATATATAAGTAGATTATCCTCATTTTCAAGCTAAACTCCCTAATCTGTGACTATAAAAAGAAATAAGCCATACGAAATTCATCCCTCCTAATCTGAGATTAAACCCTTGACTTTTCGGTGTCCCACCTAGTTTTATTGATTAATTTTGCGAAGAAGAGAAGAAATGCCATATGTAAAAGTAAACAAAAATGGACGCTGGCAAGGAAAAGAGGTTTGTAAAGGTAAAATATTAAGTTAAAACATATTTTAATTGTAAGAATGCATGATTATCTGCTTGCTTGGGTAGGCGGCCCTTTTACAGGTAGCAGGTAGGAAAGGTACGTTAAACCGTTACTTACCTATGTTGAATTCGAAGTGCTGGTTTTTATATAAGTTTTAGAGAATATTTTTATAAATCAATATTCAATACTGGCAGATACTTTTCGTGGGAGGTAACTTTCGCCAGATGTTTCAAAGTTCGCCAAAAATTTGGGAAATTGTCTTATATTCTCAGTGCCAAATTTTGTACATACTACTAATGGGACTATTTCATCACCAAACTTAATAGGCTCAGATATTATAATGTTGCATATATGTAATACTCCTGAATTGCCAGTAACAGCTAGTACCGTCCCAAAAAACATTACAATAAAATATATTGTTTTCAGAGCGAGGCAGGCTTATATGATTATTTCAAAAGTGAGATAAAAGGTCATCAGCGCTTCAATGACAGAAAAACTTTATACGATAAGCAGTTAAGAATTGTTGTTGAATTTTGTCTTTAATTTTACTATTTTCTTTGTATGGAGCAGGGATGAAGAGATGTGTGTAATCTGCAACGCTGTGTACACCCCGCGACAAACGATAGCACATCAACATTTTGTACCAGTTTTGACTACTTTTCTTTTGATTTTTTAAGGTTCATTACTTTTATATAAAAGCATAGCTAACAAATCTATACATAGTATAAAGGAAAGTCGAGATTCTCTGTACTCGAAAACTACTGAACGGATTTTGACGAGATTTTCTCTAATATACTCTGTCTCGACAGGAGAGGGATCTTTTTTTACTTAGAATTTTAACATGGTTGCCACCCTTATAAAAAACTATAAGATCCGCACCGTTCGTTGGATTACAAAAGATGAGATGTCAAATGAAAGGGATTGGCCTCTAGAAAAGCACTAACATTTTTTTAATAGAGTTGCCACCTGTAAATAAAATTACCATATTCAATCATAAGCGTAGGCATCAGTTCTGTACCGTCACTATCAAACGAAAAGACTTAGCCTCTGGATGTGTAATAACGTATTATTTTTCTGAGTAGGGCTGCCACCTGTTTAAAAACTATAAGATCTATACCGTTCGTTGGATAAAAAAATGGTGACAGGTAATAAGATCAACGGAAATAAGGTCAATTGACTTTATTTCCCACCCTGGTGCGAAATAAAGTCAATTGACATTATTACCTTTTTAAAAACGAAATAAAATCCATTGACATTATTTCTCTTTCAAACATTAAATTTGCTTAGCTTCGCGGCGGCCCGCGTCAGCGCGCCACACCGCCGCGCCGCGCTCGCGCCCCGCGTACCCCACGCAAATGGCACTTTTGTAAAAAAAAAATAACATTTCAATACATTTTTGTGAAATCCTTTGGGTGCACTTCTTTTTCTCAACTAAAATTTTCTAATTTATAAAGGCTATTCAACTGGTTTATCTTATTTTATGATTGCACTTTTGTTTGGAAAATGTAGCTTTATTTTATTGCTAAATGTGAATGATTAAAAGAAATGCCACCTTTTTTGGCCCTTTTATTTTTCTGTTTTGCACACTTTGGCACTTTTTTATCCTCAATATGGCACCTCATAACTAAGGATAGTTGCCAGCCCTGATTGGAAGATTTCTGCTGCGTTTTGGGGCAACAACTTGTCTGCAGTAAAAAGCATATAATTTGTTTCAAAAGTGTGTGAAAACCAATCAATTAACTTATATGATCTCGGTTCCGATATTAAATAATCAATAATTGTTTATACCCGCATTTTGGCACATTGGCTCGTTGAATGTGCTATCTAATAAATAGTGTCGTCATTCTCCTTAGCTGCTTTTAAATGATGTCGTCACAAATTGGTGGCGGAGACATGAACACAGTGTAAGAAAATTCTTTTTCTTTAATTGTTTCCTTATAGAAAAGTTGGTTTATTTTCCACCTTAGACATTCCGAATTCGTCCAAAATATGCTAATTTAAAACACAGAATTCTTTCAGTGTTCCTCCGGGGTTTTTGGACATGTATTGTTTCTTCAATTTAATAATGTTCGCTTTATTTTTGTGGAAACGAAACATGTTTTGCAAGTTATGGATCATTTCTACACTCTTTCTTCAAATATTTCTCGTATTCCAGCTGTGCGCAGGCGTTTAGTTTTTCGCATCGTATTTTTACATATTCGTAATTTAAATTTTTTAATAAAATCAAATGGTGGTAGTTCATGATTGTGTGTGGATTAATATCACAACACTGAGGATTTGGCAATA